GTTTCAGAGGTCCCTCAGCTCTATTTAAAACCAGAACCTTTAAACATGCCCTTTAAATAGCTATAAAATGTTCCCATAAAATCCTAGAAATTTATTTTCTATATTGTTTCTTTATGGTTGGTTTAGTGTGTCATTTTATCAAAAACTTTAAAAAGTCATTTCCTTCCCAATCATTCATTATTGTAGTCGCCACAAAATTCACTACTTTAACTTTCTTCTTGCGCCATTAATTAGCAAACTGCTCATTAACTGCTTTTGTAAGAATTGATTCATTGGCACCCAGATACAGAACCGTAATGATGGAAACATTAGAAATGCTTAGCTAGCTAGACAGAAACCCAGTTAAACATGTAAGTGAAATGAAATCCAAAGTTCACATTTCTAGCATGGTCTTCATGGAGTGAACTTTGTTAATGCTTGGCGGGCAGTGAATACTTCCAATACGGGTTATCAAAACTATGCAGCTTTGTTGATGTATTCCTACGTACAAGATCAGATACATACAGCACCTAGTTGTAAAATGCAAGGAGTATAGAGCCTGTAGATGACTTATAGTAATCAACCAAGAATCGACCTCAGTGTCTGGAATGGAATGATTAAAATGTTCACAGGGGGTCTCCAAAGGAAGAAAGAAAAATCAATGAGGATGTAGGGTTTCTTTTGGGAGGGGCACACATTTTAGGGGGGTGCCAAAGGTACTAGGCCTCATTTAGACTATGCTCCTTTAGAAGACAGATGGTGACCAATGGTGCTTCTGGAATGACATCATGTACAGGACATACATAACACAGAAATTGGCATACAAAAAGATTTGCACCTACTTACAGACACAGCCAGTTAGAAAGGCACCTATGTTCCCTGATGTACACTCTCTACTCAGCTGGAAGGATGGTCCAGCAGTTAGGGTGCTAGCCTGGGATCTGAGAGACTTGGGATCAATTTCCTGATCTACCACAGACTTCCTTTGTGATCTTAGGGTACGTCTTCACTACCCGCCGTATCGGCGGGTAGCAATCGATTTATCTGGGATTGATATATCGCGTCTCGTTAAGACGCGATATATCGATCCCCGAACGCGCTCACTGTCAACTCCGGAACTCCACCAGAGTGAGCGGCGGTAGCGCAGTCGACGGGGGAGCCACGGCCATGGATCCCGCGCCGTCTGGACCCCAGGTAATTCGATCCAAGATACTTTGACTTCAGCTACGCTATTCGCGTAGCTGAAGTTGCGTATCTTGGATCGATCCCCCCCCAAAGTGTAGACCAGCCCTTAGACAAGTCACTGAGTCTCTCTCTATACCTAATTTTCTGATCTGTAAAACAGTATTTGAGGGTATTGTGAGGTTAATGATTTGGAAGCACTCAGACACAGTAATGGGGAGCTATTATCAAGTACCCAAGAGAAAGAAAAAGCTTCCCAGGAGCACAGAAGCTACACTTGGTTACCATTCTTAGCTTTGTTAGTCATCGGGAGATGATGGTGAAAGAGCCGGGGTGCATGTAACATATGGTTTTTGACCATGATGAATGAGCTTTGAATCCAATGATACTGTTGGAATGAAAAGACATTCTTGGCATTGTGTAATCATAAACTCATGCTTAAGAAAGAGAAAAACAAAGCTGGATAACTACTGGGAGCTCAAGCTGAAGGGTACCACGAGATACTCTCTAGCTTCACCCATTCCTCAGAGAACTGCTACTGCAAGCTTTTCCTTGCTAATCAATCATCTGAGAAAGTGACAAGAAATATAAATGGCATTAGTGAAACTATAACTAGATGTCTCAGACAATTATTGGGAGTGTTGATGAATCACCTAGACATTTATACCATGCTCCACAGGAACTACAAAGCAAAAAAAAAAAAAAGCAATTTCATTCTATAACAGGATTTCAAAATATCTTGTAGTTAGGTATTTCATTGGTTTGGTGCTCAACCCTGCAGTCCTTTCTTGTGCAAAACTTCTTCTAATTCAGTAGGAAAAATGGGTGCAAGTTTGGTCCCTATATCTGTTGTTCTTCCATACCATGTAATCATAAAAAAATTTAAGTTAGGAAAGCATAGACTATTAATAATAATATGGACCTTTGACACTATTGTCCAAATAGAGGAACTGACGCCAAAACTCTGGTGGTAACAGTTCAATATTGGGGTGCTGCTTTACTGTTGTATCATCTGAAAATGAAGAAATTCTACACAATGACTGAATTGAATGTATTCTATTTCTTTCAGTCAATAACTGATAGCATATCCTATCTAATTAAATCCATATTTTATGTGCTGCTCTGCATTACTTACTGTGTGCATAATGAAAGCTCTCAACTATGGAAGCTTTTGAATTACCAATCACAGAGTAAAAATTGCACTTCATACGAATTCAGCATATGAAATGCATCATTTAAAATATACCTTATGAAATATTATCTGTCATCCATCCATATTGCATGTGTGATAGAAATAGATGAAGATATGCACGGGACGATATGGCCAAGGAGCAGAGTAAAACTAAAATGGAAAAGCAGATTAACAACCTAACCAGACAGAAGATCCTAGCTGGTGGTGGTTGGTTTTTTTTTCCCCCCAAAAGAAACTAACTTATAATATAATCTTAGCAGTGTATGTCTTGGGTCAGATCTTTAGCTGATGCAAATCAATGTAGTGCCACTGTCAGTGGAGGTATATTTGCTTCTTCTTTGAGTAGCATCCCTATGGGTACTCCACTCTAGGTGCACTTGTGGCTCTTGCACCTCCGATCAGAGATTTTAGGTAGCATTGTCCATTTGACCCATGCATGTGCCCCTGAAGCTCCATGCCCTATACCAAGGCTATATAGAGCAGTGAGGGCGAACTGCCCTCAGTTCCTTCTCAACCGCCTTTGTCTAAGATGGAACCACAGCAGAATCTGAGTTGAACTTACTTCAATTGTACTTTTCTCATGTTCTTACTAGTTAGTCAGTGTTAGTTCTTAGAGTTTCTTTTTGTGTCAGTTAGCTGTAGTAATTTTATAGTTTTAAAAATAAAAATCTTTAAAAAAAGATTTTACTCATACTTTTAGGATAAGGACCGTTGTCCCTTTACCTATTTTTCTTTGTTTCTCCTCCTAAGGAGAACTTAAACACTGGGAGGGTATGCCCAGTTCTCCCTGGTTTAAACGCTGCCTTTCATGCCAAGAAGCAATCCTGATCAGTGATGGACACTCCCAGTGTGTCCACGGCCTTGGAGAGTCACATGTTCCCCCAAAGTGTAATCTCTGTCTGCAATTAAAATTAAAACTGACCACCTTCTGACCCTGTGGCCAGGGGACCCTTCCTGTACAACGGTCTCCAAACTATATCAGTATTTCTCAACTGGGGGGGGGGTCACAATTTATTTTATAATGATATAGTAAAAAATGAGAAAGTAAACAATTTTTCAGTAATAGTGTGCTGTGACACTTGTATTTTTATGTCTGATTTTGTAAGCAAGTAGTTTTAAAATGAGGTGAACTTGGGGTACGCAAGACAAATCAGCCTCTCGAAAGGGGTACAATACTCTGGAAAGGTTGAGAACCATTGCCCTAAAGCTTTGACGAGGAAATCTCTGGAATCCTGTCAAAAAGACTCTAGAAAGTGGTCTTTGAGTCCTCTGGGTAGAGAATCTACCTAAAATAGATGGTCTCTGATTCAGACATCTGCTTCAGCACCTACCGATCTCTGATGATCATGAAGGTCCTTCTGACCTATGACTCTATGAGACTCAGTACCCACAAGGCTGCAAGTTCCTCACATACCGTGACCACCAGCAAGTCTAAGGACTCTAAGGATTCCGGGTCCAGAAGATTGGTACCCTTGGGTGATCAGAGAAGCAGAGGGAAGAAGACTAGCTCTTCTAAATCAGTACTGACCAAGTACTAGGACCTCAGAACCCAGCACTTCAGTTCTGCAAAAAAACAGACTGACACCTATTGGTCATTGATTGGAGCACATGGGACATTTGGTACTGTTGGCGCCTTCTACCACAGTTATCTCTGCCCAACTTACCTGATTGCTACTGTCCACTGATCTGGTACCGCAAGAGTTTCCTTTTTCTCTAGACTTTGCCGTAACAGAAATGCCTGAATCTTCCATTTGGCACTGACCCATTCTTGGTACCGACCACCTTTTGATCCCCGGAGATTTGATCAATATTTACAGAGTCTCCGCCTATCTCTATGACTGCTCCATCTCTACTAAGTAATGAGGTGGAGGAAGATGATAGGGGCTTTTCATCAATCTCCTACATTACTGTCCAGGGATTTCCCTTCCATCATCAAGGAACTTTCTATCCTGAGACCTCTAAGGAGTCAGAATATCCTCATGAGAGACACATTCTATCCTGGTGCCTTCACCCATGCCTTATGCACCACCTCAGTGGCCACACTGAGTCCTTTGGGCCCCTATTGTTTCTCACTGGGGGAAGAGCAGATAATCACCACCAGACTGTCTCTCTAAGGTTCCTGATTCAAAAGAGGAGACCTCTGAGAAGCAGGAAGTGAGATTGGACAAAGATTACCCTTACAACTAATCTCTCTTCCTCCTCCTCAAATGAAGCTGTCATGCTTCCTCAACCATTTTAAACAGTTCCAGGACCTCATTAAAAGGACAGCCTCCTTGAAAATTCCACTGCAGGAGATTAAGGAGTCACAGCATAATTTATACATTGCAATACCTATTAATGAGGCCTTGTTAGACCCTGCAGAAATAATTTGGCATACCTCAGCCACAATACCACCCACCTGTAAAAAGGTGGACAAAAATATTACATTCCCTCCAAAGACTTTGCCTCTATCTCCCAACTCCCTTGTGGTTGATGCTGTGAATAAATGTGGCAGACAGCATCATGCTAAATCTACTCCATATGATAAAGACCTAAAGTGTCTTGATTTATTTGGCCTTAAGTCACACTTATCAGCTACCTTACAATTTAGGATCACAAATTATGAAGCCCTTGTGGCAAAATACAGGCATACTAACTATTCAAAGTTGAATGCTTTTATTGAGCATCTTCCAACAGACCACAGGGAGCAATTGCAGGTGATCATTGCTGAGGGCCAGCTGCTCACAAGAACATCTCAATTCTCTGCAGACCTTTCTGGACACCGCTGATAGAGCTGCTCATTCTTTCTCCATGGTGGTAGTCATAAGGAGGGCCTTCTGACTTCAGCTCTCAGGTTTCTGAGGGAAGTCCAAAATACCGGTAAGGACCTTCCCTTTAACAGACTGAAGTTGTTTGCAGGAAAAAACTGATGAATATTTGTTTCCCTTAAAAGATTCTAGAGCCACCTTTTGCTCTCTGGGAATTTACGCCCCCTGCACAAAAAAGAAAGCTCAGTAAGTCCCAGACAGCATGCAGATCTCGTCCTACCCAATTTTCTGCCTCCCAGAGATCTTATGAACCCCAGCACAAGAGACAACAGTTCCAGAAGAAGAGACCAGCTACTTCTCAGGCATCAACTTCACAATGTATAGCTTCAAAACACCAATTTTGACAGGCTGGTTGAGGTAGAATCCTTATCTGCTACAACAATCTGCATGTCTTCCTCGCTTCAGTGACCACCTCTCACATTTATGTCAGAACTGGGAACACATCACTATGGACAAGTAGGTACTGGAGATCATTTCAGCATCCACTTTACCTCCCTCCTCTACATCCCGACCCTCTTCCTCGTCCCTCTTTAGAGCCCCCTCCCTTGAACACCTTTTGCATCAGGAAATCAACTCTCTCTTGAATCTGGGTGCATAGAACTAGTTCCCACGCAACACAGAGGGAAGGGATTTTATTCCAGGTGCTTCCTGGTTCCAAAAAAGAACGGCGGTTGGAGGCCTAGTCTAGATCTAAGTTTACCCAACATATTCGTAAAGATTCAAAGGTTCAAAATGGTATCTCGTGCAGCAATAATTCTATCATTGGACCAAGGGAACTGGTTCTCAGCCCTTAACCTTTAAGGTTGTTTACTTCCATATAGTGATACACCCCTCCCACAGAAGATTCCTACACTTCACTCTGGGTCAATAGCACTTTCAATACATGCTGCTCCCATTCATTCTCTTTTCTGAACCTAGAATATTCTCAAAAGTTGTGTCTGTGTTAGCAGCTCGTCTTCACAGACAAGAAACTCTGATTTTCCCATACCTCAACAATTGCCTGCTCAAAGGGCCGTCCTTCAACAAAGATTTGACAGCCACTCAGAAGACTGTAGACCAATTTCTCAGACTGGAACTATAATTAAACATCCGAAAGTCCACCTTAACCCAGGTACAAAGTCTGGAGCTCATAGGAACTTACCTCAATGCAGTAACAGCTAAAGCATTCCTCCCTTTGCACAGCTTCATAACCCTAGCCAACTTAGTAGAGTCCAAGACATCTCTCAAACATCAGCCAGAAATTGTCTCTAGCTTTTGGGACATATGGCGGCTGGCACCTTTGTAATAAATCACGTGAGACTTTTACAAGAGACCAGGAATACTACAGGAAAAATAAAGAAATAATGAAGTCTGACTACCAGTTCAATGGGATGAAGATCAGGTCTAACATACCAGATGTATTTAACATTTAAGTTGAGAGAAAGAATTTGTGGCCATAATTTGTTTGGTTTTGAGATAACTTTATGTAAAACACTGTAGAAAATGCAATCAGGGCAGGTTAATGAATATAGTACGGGGAGAGGTTACGTGGATATAGAGCTATCAAAGTTTGGATGTTGAATGCAAAAAGTTCTTCTGAATAGAAATTGCTTACAATGGAATGAGGTGACTGGCAAAATGACTGGGTAATATAGTTTATTTTACATATTTGTGTCAGTGACCTTGAAGAAGGAACATGAAGCAAAATGATGACATTCTGGGGATACTTAGAATTTTTAATGACAGCTACAGGTTCTCTTGCAAGTGGCATTAACTGCCTGCCTCCATGAATGTTTGCAGAAATGATAAACTCTTATTATTTCCCCTAATAAATTTGAGCAGATTTATTAGAAGTGACCTCCTCCAGTTGAGCAAAACTACTATCTTTCACACTGATTTCCTTTAAATTCTAAAAGACATATGATTCAAGTGACTAAGTAATAAGTGAGAATATTCTGATTTTTTTGAATATGTGTGTTCTCTTTGTGCATATGCCTTACCAAATTTCTGTTCTAAAATACATTTCAGAAATGTTATAAACAATATCTAATTGTTTGGGGGGAGGGATAGTTCAGTGGTTTGAGCATTGGCCTGCTAAACCCAGGGTTGTGAGTTCAATCCTTGAGGGGGCCACTTAGGGATCGGGGGCAAAAATCAGTACTTGGTCCTGCTAGTGAAGGCAGGGGGCTGGACTTGATGACCTTTCAAGGTCCCTTCCAGCTCTAGGAGATAGGATAATTTTTAATCTTAAAACAGCAGCTGCATGCCCCTGGTGGACAGTCATCCGTCTGTTGTAATTAAACCCAACTTTTGGAACCTATCAGCTCCTGAGCCAGCTGGGTCAGGGCAGAGTTCAGTCATTGTTTCGTTCTCTGTGCCTCTCAGGCATGGTCCCACGTGCAGACTCCCTGTCTGTTCCCTTTCCCTGTGATGTGGGACTACACAGTCCAGCTGGCCTGGGCCCTGAAACCACTGCTGAGACCTCCAAACCTCCTGAGTCACTTATGCACGATCCCCTAGAGCTGCACCCCAAGGGAAACTCTGGTTTATAATTCAACTCCTCAAGGACCGTGTGGCAGGTAAAGTAATGGAACATAGACTTTGCACAGGAAATTCTTAATCCCAATAACTGTTACCCTTAAAATATACAGGAGTTACGTATCGTTAGGAAAAACCACCACCACCTACAGGTCTCCCCCCGTAAGTCTATGCTCACCCTTTCTTGTGAGTCCTAGGCCCAGTCAATGTGTCAAGCAGGTAGACCCCTCCTGCAGTCCTTTTATTGTCAGTCAATGGTTGGCCCCTGAAAGGCTGGAGCAGATCCTGCCCTTAATAAGATTTTTGTTTCCTATGTCAGGAGACCAACTGATCAGCTTCAGAACCTCTCAGGTAGTTAGCGGGAAGTCTCAGCCCCCTTAGAGTCCAGGCTAGGCAGACTTGTTTCCTTTAGCCCAGGCATTCCCTCTTTGATTGGAAGACAAAAACAGTTGATGACTCTTGTGTTAGCTGTCCAGGGTGGTATCATGCATTACAATAAGCTGCTCTTGATCTGTTCTTAACATCTCAAGGCAGTTACAACTACATGAACAAAATTTAAGTCACATTCTTCAAAATGGCAGTTACAGTATCAAGTGAAGGTCACAATTTTGATACAGACATATACCAATCCATCACAGCAGAGTTCAAAGATAACACAATAAATTATGCTACTATATTTGTTCTATTTATTGTGTACTAGGGTGTGTGTTGTGATTGGCACTTGTAAAAAACACAAAAATAATGGTAATCCCTCATTAGTGATGGTTAAAATAGGCCATTTTGAATTGCAACTTTCAAACCGGCAAATATTTAACTGTATTTGTATGTTGACAATTCTTTCAAAAATATGATTGTGGATCAAAATTAAAACAGACTGGAAAATATTAGATAAAGTGAACTGAATTAAGCTAAGTGTAACCATGGCAGTACAGTAACGTAAAAAATATTTTATTCCATCTCAAGAGTTTGGATGCACATTATACCTTTTATATAATTCAAGTGACTGAATCAAAATATAAAGGTTATACAAATCAAATTAGATGTTAATTTCAGCGTGATGTTTCAGATCCTGAGATATATGTGATGAAATAGGAAGCAGGACATCAGTATTGTTCAGTTTGTAGCGACAGAGGTGAGATATTTGTTTCTAATAGAAACCCACCTCCAGCTATCACACCTAAATCTGCAGAGCTGTGGATTATAAATATCCAGTGGATAAAGATTTCCTGTACTGTTGTATCTTCCTACCAATGTCCATGAAAGCTGATTTTCTCTCAGAGCTGGTTAACACTGACATGCTGTAAGTGAATTCAGAGTGGCAGACAAAGGACCTGCTCCAATGTCCATCGGTGTAGCCTTTTCCATTGATTTAAATGGGCATTTGATCAGGCCTATATCACCAGCATTTATTCTTTCCTCTTTAAACTACAATTGACTGATGGTTTTTCATGTATATGTTAATACCAGAAACAGCTTGGTGAAATGAATATAAAATTAAAAGGCTGTCCATGTACTTAAGCCAGAACATACAATATACAGCAAAGGGAATATAATGTCCTATACCCTAGTTGATTAGTAATCAGCAGTTAATTAGTTGTTTTTTTTCTTCAGTATTTTGACCATTTTGGAACTTGCAACTCACCACTTTATATATAAATTGTTTCCAAAGACAAGCATTGTATTTCTGCTATTTCAAAATACATAAAGATTTGAAGGGGTGGGATGGGGGTGGGGGAGGGGAAGAGAAGGGAAATACAGTACCCTGCGGACCAAAGAAACAGAAGCAGCAGCTAGGTTCTCGGTTTGAAAATGTTTTGCTAGAGTGCAAAACACATTGTGACATGTAACGAAACAGTGAAGGTGAATATATTGTGTCATTGCAGAAGAGTGTCTGAAAATGCTTGTCCAGTGGCTGCACTTTAAAAGTTTGGTCCAGTTTGAAAGCTGTTTCAAGAGATTAAGAAGTCAGAATTTGGGTCTGAATCAGAAAGAGCAAAACTAGAATTAGCAACAGTGAGGGGGCAGTGGCATCTGCATGAAGGAATCACACTAGGCCACCACCAGCAGTTAATAAAATGCACAGTGGTGCTAGGGAGACGGAATAGTACCGTTCTCCCTCCTAACTCTCATATCCACTGGAAAACTGGCACTGTGGGGATCCAGGAAGAAATCTCCTTATGAGAGAGAGAACAAAAGAGAGAGAGTGTGCACGTGCCGTGGGAGGGGAGTCAGGAGCAGCAGAGAGAGGTGGCCATGATAGTGCTGCCTGACTCTCATTGACTTGAAAAGACTTTGGATCAAGCTCCAAGACAGCCTGCTAAATCACAGCACAAGAAGGTACTGCTTGAAGATAAGAGTAGACTTGAGTTCTGACCTTTGAGTATTGTGCCTCTACTATAGGCCTGATTCTGATCTCACTGACATTGTTTTAGAACAGAAGTATCTGCAAAAAAAGCCAGTAGAGTTACACCAGAACATGGCTGGTGCAAGCGAAATAAGAATCAAGCCCTGTATTTTTATAGCATGACATGTTGAAAAGAAAAGCTTTTAAGCCAGCTGTGTCCATTTCCAAGGCAGGGAGACTTCATGGCATTCAACAGCATGAAGATTAACCATTTTAACAATAAACTGTGAGATAATGGTGGGAAATGTAAATTAAAAATTACTTTGGTGTACCTAACCATTTGATCAGAGGAAATTACCTCCTACATTATTCAAAGGAGGCCATGGTACACTCTAGAGAAAAGAGATAAAGCTACAGTACATGTATTATTAAATATATTTGGTATTCATGTTAGGTATTAAATTTCCTTTAATAAATTGGAAAATTTCTACGGTGTGTTCCAAAATATTATTTCAAACTTTTTTTTTAGCCTTTTTGCTTACCCAGGACTGCAGCAGAAAAGAACATCTGCAGCACATAAAAGCTTGGGGACTTAACGGCTGTTTACATTTTTTCCTTGATAAATTATTAAAATCATGCTTGAGTAATCATTTTTAATGAAAGAAAGCATCTCCGGGAGTTAAATGAGCATCATAGACTTGATGTTGTGCAAGAAGTGTTACTCAAGACTATCATGACTAATTACTGCATATTTCTGAGATGATATTATTAAGACAAGTCCTGAACAGCTTTCAACTACTAAACTGTCATGCTGGTGCTATACATTTTTTTTTTAACTCTCATTGTACCTCAGTACACATGGGGGAATTCTGTTTTAGGCGAAGTTTAATTTTCTTGCAACTTTACAGCAGTATAAGCTGATTGTAACTAAAACAAAGGACCTGGTTCTCCTCTGTCTTGTTCTGTGCAAAGTGAGTCTAAAATACTACCATTCTGTTTCTTAGGGTTTTACACACATTTTGCATAGGCACAAATGATAGCACCCGGTGAAAGACCATGGAGAATCAAGTCCAAGGACTGAGGTGACCCATCCCACATTTTAACTCAGAGATTTTCTACTTTTCTTCAGCTCTTTGCCAAAACCACCCTTTCTTTAAGTGAATTTCTACTGCTCTGCCACAAAGGAGCAACCAAGCCAGGCTAGCGAAAGCCTTGACAATAATTAAAAACAACTATTACAATAAACAGATTGTCAGTTACTCCTTAGATCACAATCACCCAGGTCAATTACAAAATGAAGTTTACACTCCTCCCAAAAGAATTCCTTACTGGAGTCCTTCGTATTAATACCCCTATGCAGTCTTGTCTATGGGAAAAGGAAATGGGTGCAGGGAGAACAGATAAGCCTTGAAGTGTCCCCCAAAGAATAACAACACTGTACTGTTATAGACCAAGTCAGACATTACTACTTACTTGGACTGGAATGCTCTAGTTACAAAGCAGTAACAAAGGGATTATATACTTGTGATGTTGCAGTCTATATGGTTTTATAAAAATATGATAAGTGAATATAATGTAACTGGGATATGCTTCATGCAAAAGTTCTCTTGTAAGGTATCATTACAAAGCTTATAATCTACTGAGTGTGATCATCCTATTTGTATCAATGTACCACTCTTGTATCTAAAACTAGAAACATAAAATATAACTCTGAGTGCCTATTGTAATTATGCAAAGTGTGGGCCATTAGTGGTGGTTTGGAATCTTGATGACTCCCATTAACCAGGACCATTGTCTGCAGATGGCTGTGTTTTACCTGTGAGTCTTCCTGTGTGTGCTGGCAAGCGGGTAATGAAGTCTTGCAGTGACATGTGATCATGTTACTTGAACTGGAATCCATCTTTAACCTGGTGCTTTTCCAGTGAGGGGGGGAGGGGGTGGAAACCCAGAGGGACAAAGGGTTCCCGCCTTATGCAAAAGATATATAAAGGGGTGGAACAGAACAAAGAGAGAGAGAGGAGCCATCATGAAGAATCCCCTAGCTACCACCTAAGCTGGAACAAGAGCTGTACCAGGGGAAAGAATTGTGTCAGATGGTGTCCAGTCTGAGGAAAAAACTTACTGAAGCATCTCTAAGGGTGAGATTATCTGTATTTAGTTTGATTAGACATAGATTTGTGCATTTTATTTTATTTTGCTTGGTAACTTACTTTGTTCTGTCTGTTACTACTTGGAACCACTTAGATCCTACTTTCTGTATTTAATAAAATCACTTTTTAATTATTAATTAACTCAGAGTATATATTAATACCTGGGGGAGCAAACAACTGTGCCTATCCCTCTATCAGTGTTATAGAGGGCGAACAATTTATGAGTTTGCTCTGCATAAGCTTTATACAGGGTAAAATGGATTTATTTGGGTTTAGACCCCATTGGGAGTTCGGCATCTGAGTGCTAAAGACAAGCACACTTCTGTGAGCTGTTTTCAGGTAAACCTGCAGCTTTGGGGCAAGTAATTCAGACCCTGGGTCTGTGCTGGAGCAGACGGGAGTGTCTGGCTCAGCAAGACAGTGTGCTGGAGTCCTGAGCTGGCAGGGAAAACAGGAATAGAAGTAGTCTTGGCACATCGGGTGGCAGCTCCCAAGGGGGTTTCTGTGATCCAGATTTTTATGCTAGACTTTAATTCTTTGGCCCAGATTCCCTGGTCCATCTGCATTGCGTTCAGCAGAGGGCATAGCAGATGGCAAAAGTATCTTTCTGCCATCTTTGTGTTCTTCTGATCCTTGAGCTGTTTGAGCCCCCAGGATAAGGTAGAACAGTAGGAAAACACACCAAGGAAACACTTAGGAAAACTCTAGGAAAACACACCAAGCCCCAAACTCAAAGTAACTTATATAAAACCATGTCCCAGATAATGCCCTATGACAAAGACCACAGTCCTGCATCTTATGTTCTCATATACAACAATGCAATGTGGGATAGTATATCATCATTATGATTTGGTAGCATTTTACACTATTTTGCATTAGTGTAAGTGACTACACAAAGTGCATGGCAACTGTGAAGTCAGCCTTCAGGGTCT